GAGCAAAGAACTCTCGGAGGGGAGCACTACCGTCAAAAGTATCAGGCTTTAGTTTATATGGTGTTTCATAATGCGAAGCACGTGACTCAATACGCTCCCGTTCCCCCGCGATCGTCACCTCCGTGTGACGCGGAGCACGCGATTCAACGCGACGCGACTCAATGCTCCCTCATTCCCCCGCGACAGCCGCCTCCACATGACGCGTAGCGCCCGATTCACGGCACTCCTGATCACCCGCGACACTCCCGCCGCCCGATAAAAGTTGTGACACTCCGCGAAACGAAGCGCAAGGTCCGAGGCATTCACACGTATTTTTGGCACAACCGTCGTTCACCGGAAGCCGTGCGCGACTATAATCACCCGCGTCCGCGATAATATTTCTATTAATAGAAGGACTTAGCTGTTTAAAATTGCGTAGCTCCTCTCGCAGTAATTTAATTTCCGAGTCCCGTTGTCGTGTCGCCTCCGCGTATTCACTCCTCGTACGCTGCTGCTCCTCACGTAGTTGCTGCACCTCTCGAAGTACCGCCTGAAGAGCCAACGTCATCGGAGTTGTCTCCTGCGAAGCAGTCCGCGGAACCATTTCCTCTAAAGCGGCTCGATCTGTCTCCATCGCTCCTTCTATATCTTCCGCTTGTATCCTGCTCCTTGTGACGACCGGAGAACGCAGCATCACACGATCTCAACACTTCGACCGGAGGAGCCCCCAAAATGTTACGTCCGTCCGTGCGTCTAGTATGTTACGTCCGTCCGTCTCACGAGATCCGCACTCCCGATTCGCCGAAATGAGTCACTCGTGAGTATAAAGGTAAACAGATGTTTATTAACAATCACAGGACTTCAGCGTGATACAATTAAACCAGATAAATATCTCGCGTAGAGAGAAACACGTCCGTTCGTGACGGAGACTCTCTTCCGAGTTGTTTAACAACAACGCGCTCGTCGCCAAGCAACGCGCTCTTCGTTCTTCAGGAACGTGCAACGGGCGACAACTCTTCTCAGGCGTAACGGGTGACACGATTCAGGCATAACAATATTATATAAAGTATTAGTTATATATTTTAATAACATACTGCAATACAAAATTTGTTTACAAATATCTTACATAATTTAACCTATCATATTAAGGGGGTATTCTCATGTCAAGGTCAAAATTTTAAGCATATTTTAGGAATTTTTTTTATAAAGAAAATAAAACGCAATCTTTTTAATCTTTTTATATGTTATTACTTGCATCTTATAGTTTATAAAAAAATTTTTTTGGTCATAATTTATTAATATTTTGTGTATGCTCTCTGTAGTCAAAGATGGTGCCTTGAAAAAAAGCATTGTCAGCGGTGCAAGTGATTTCAGCTCACACTGTCATCTGAAACAAAAAAGTAAAAAAGATTCTTAATCTGTATGCTTGTCGCTATCGCAGGTACCAGAATTGGTCATTTTTATAAAAAAAAAAAAAAAATAGCGGCCATTTGAAATTTTAAAGCAAAAAATCGCAATTTTTCGTGTTTATTGGTGGTCGAAAAAATAAGAAATTTTCATTTTAAAAAAGCGATTCTGGTACCTGCGAGAGCCAATCATATGTAGATTATGCTCAAAAAATTTCAGGCCAATCGGTTGGATAGTTTTTTATTAATCACCTGCACCGACCAAAAAAAAGTGGTTTCGAGAAAAACGCGTTTAAAGTTTTCTTAGTTGATTTTTCGAAGAAAAAATATACTTACACTAATCGGCTATGCCTGCTCCATACAATAGACCTTCAGCTTCCTCAAAAGCATCGTTTTCTTCTGCCCTAGCCGCCCTCAAAGCTGCCCTGGCCTCTTTTGAAGCCGCAGTGGTACAGTGCTCCGCCTTTGTTATGCGCGCTTCGTCGTGCGTCTCCATGAAATTTATAGCTTGCGGACCGATTGTCACACCCATAAGTTCCGTTATTTTAATTGAAGGTTTAAAACCTTCATTAAAGATGCATGCTGCCGTAAGTGTGGCAATTTCTAATATTTTTTTTCCAGTAAAAACGTGTTTGGGAACCAAATTCCACACGCAAGCGTTGAAAGATTCGTTGTTATTTTGAGTGTTTGCTCCCAAGCATCTTTCTAAAAGATCCTCGGACGATAAGTCTTCATAAATAGGCTTAATCAAAGCTGCAACTTCATCATCAAATGCTGGTGGATGTTTATAACTTGCCTCTTGATTTACTGTCTTGAGTAGGATCAACATTTGCTTCAAAATCGCCAGCCTTTTGTTTTAGTTTCTTGGCTGAAGTACTAACAAAATCGGTGTCTTTTTCGGCAGTATGTTGATTTCCTCGAAACGATCTTTTTCGTGCAGGTGCTCCTTGACGTCTAGAACTTTTTCTCGATAATTTTCTATCCATTTTACTCGATCTTTACTCCTCGAATAGCAAATGCTGACTGAGAACTGGTTCTAAAAGACTTACGTGCGCTAAGGTCACATACAAAGAAAAATAATCGTTGTATACTAACACAGGTTAAGGAAGAGTCTTAGGTAGGACACACATACAATAGGCACAGGTATAAGAATCTCAAACGGTCAAAAAGGGGAAGTTTCAAACACAGCGTCGCTAGTAACTGCCGCGCGCTCGGCGACGCGCTCACTTTTACGGTCTACAACTCTGGAAATAATTCGAATTTTTTAATGAAACTTTAACATCATATTCTCCTAATGATATACTTTCAAAATATGTAAAAAAAAAAAAAAAATTTTTTTGACCCGACACATGAGAATACCCCCTTAATAAAATTATGTAATTAAATTTTTTTCAAAAGCGATAAATAATTTTAATCGGACTTTTAATCTTTAAAATAATAAATAACAGTAAAAGTAAGGCTAATGAGAATCAGCGCGGAAGTGGGTGCGCACAAATATTAATTCATACAAAGTCCATTATAATACACGATGTCAACTTTATTACGAATTCTTGTTGAATGTTCCTATAATAATTCGTAATGAAGTTGACATTATGCGTATTATAATGGACTAATTTATATGAATTAATATTTGTGCGCACCTACTTCCGTGCTGACTCTCATTAGTCTTAATTTTAATGTTTATTTGTTATATTCAATTTTCATTTACAGATTGGCTGTGTATTATTGGTAAGGTAATAAAACCATTATTATATGGGTATTTGATGCACTTCATGAGTATTTTATCTATATCAATTATATGGACATCATTAGACAAGTTTTGTACAT